CAGCAAAAATGCTGATGCAACACTGTACAAACAGCTGGTAGTATGCTTAATGTACCTAACGGTAACTCGTCCTGATTTAATGTTTGTGGTATGTTTGATTTCTCGTTATATGGCTGATCCTAAAGAAGAACATATGATGATTGCTAAGAGGGTACTGAGATATTTAAAAGGAACATTGGATTTTGGAGTCTATTACAAAAGGAGCACAGATGTAAATCTGCTGGGATACACAGACAGCCACTATACAGGAGATGAGAATGACAAAAATCTGTTGGGATACACAAACAGTGACTATGCGCGAGATATAGACGATAGGAAAAAAGCACTTCAGGCTATGTTTTTCTTCTAAGTGGAGCAGCAATATGTTGGAGTTCAAGGAAACAAAGAATTGTCACTCTATCATCCACAGAAGCTGAATATGTGGCTGCCACTGCATGTGCATGTCATGGAGTTTGGCTTAAAGGAATTCTAAAGGAGCTGAGCGTCAAAAACTGTGAGTGCATCAATATTATGTGTGATAATAGTTCAGCAATTAAGTTGTCAAAGAACCCAGTTATGCATCGAAGGACAAAACATATTGATGTTAGATACCATTACTTGCGCAATCTGTCAATTGATGGAGCTGTGAGGTTAGTTTTTTGTGGAACTAAAGATCAAGTGGCAGACATAATGACTAAACCAATTAAGTTGGACCAATTTGTGAAACTCAGAAGCTTGCTTGGTGTTCGACGACTTGAGGAGTAAACTGATGTTGATTCAACATATTTCAGTTTACGGGGAGGAATTTGTTGGAGCTATTGACTTGGTCTGCAACGTGATAGCTAAATAATAGGTAGGAGTTGTTATTTAAACTAGTTTGTAGGAGTTGATTTGTTCAATTTTGTTTAGATATGTTTTCCTTGTATTTCGATTTTTTTGTTTGTAAGGTTTTATAAAAACTTCAGTTATTTTTCTACTTGAAAGAATAAGGATTATTAGTTTCCTTTAGAGTTCTGGATATCTCTTTTTAACATATTTTTTCTCTATTTCTAAAGCTTTTAAGTACTAAATGTAGCAAGAAAAAAAGTTGTGCATGAAACGATACTCAGGCGAAAGTGCTATTTCTTGGCCATTGGATCGTCCCGAGGGCCTCATTGTAGATCACTTACCATGAATTCAATTGGGATTCAATGTACAAAACAAATTCCTCACTAATATACGGTGGATGATCTCCCAAAGAAGAGGTAGAAAAACAGTATTAAAGCAGATTTGAATCCTCTCTCTTTCGGCTATTGCATTACCAACTCCAGTGTCGCTCACCAGATATGGGAGAATGGGTGCTCATACTTTAGGGGTGTAACTTGGACAGACCAACTCAAGTTCAACTCAAAAAAAAATAAAACTTGGATTGAGATTTTAAAATTTTGGGTTGCACCTTAGTTCAAAAACTCTAACCCGAATTGATTTTGGACAACATTCGGGTGGAGGCCTCCGATTATCAAGTTCAACCCGAACTCAACAAAAATATAGTAAAAATTGAAAGTAAGTCCCCCTAAATGTATTTGTTTGGAGATAAGTCATGTAAGGAAACTTATAAACGGCTAAATCCATGTTTAAAATTATATATAATGACTTAAGTCCATTTTTTTTTTATCTCAAAAATACTCTTCCTTGAAAGGAAGTTAATCTTTTTTCTCTTATATCTATATATAGGTTAAAAGTTTAACTAACATTAAAATTCTCTCTCTCTAATCTATCTATATCCATATATATAGTAACATTAAAAAAAAATAATAACATTCAAATACAAAAAAACAGTTACTATGAATTTGAATGGTAAAATTCAAATTCATGTTATTATTTTTTTTATTATGTTACTGTTCATGTTACTGCTTTTGTTGAGTATGTTACTGTTCATGTACTATTATTTTTGAGCATGTTACTATTTTTATTGACCATGTTACAACTATTATTTTCCTAAATATTAATATTCAATGTTATTTTTTTTTAATATCACTATTTTTTGCATTTGAATTTGAGAGAAATAATTATCATCAAGTATGTTACAGTTATTGTTAAACATGTTACTATTTTTGTTGAACATGTTATTGTTGTTATTTTTTTTAAATATTAATATTAAATGTTTCAATTTTTTTATGTTTAATTGTTACTATTTTTTTGTGTTTAAATGTATTATTTTTTGTGTTCAAATAATAACTTTTTTTTGTATTTGAATGTTACTATTTTTTATTTTTAATGTTACTATATATATATATATATATACATATATATAACCTATATATAGATAAATAAGAGAGAGAAAAAATATTAATATTAGTCAAACTCTTAACCTATATATGAATATAGATAGATATGAGAGAGAAAAGATTTTAATATTAGTCAAACTCTTAAAATTTAGAAGTTTTTAATTTTTAGTTTTATTACACTTCTAAAAAGAAGGGATAGTATGGTAAAATTGACAAAAAACGAACTTCATAACAAATAAATTTTCTTGACAAACTTAAGTCCAAACAAGTTCATATTAGGAGACCGGCCTCCAAATTTTTCTAAAATATATATAAAGAACTAGGGTTCCCAATTGCCCCTCTCTCTCTCTCGTTCCCTTTCTCTCTCTGTCTCTCAACCTCCCTCTCCCTCTCTTTCAAATAGTAAGACTTGCGAAGACCACAACAACTTGATTAGTGCCGAAGGTCACAACGACTTAGAGGACCTCTCTCACGTCTGCACCAAATACCACCACGATTCAAATGACCTCTCTCAAACCTGCACCTCTCTCAACGAAGAACATCACTGGACAAGTGGTGGTAGTGGCTGTGGTGTGGTAGTTGTGGTGGCAATGGGCATTGGATGTGATGGAGGTGGCTATGGTGTTTTGGACCTTTTGGTTTAATTTCTTTGTGTTGTGTTCTAATTGAATTGTGTAATTTGTAATCCGAAATCAACCCAAATTCAACTTAGACAGTACTCAAATTGAGTACTACCTCGAGTTGAGATCAAATTCAAGTTAGGGTTAAAGTTAAAGATAATATATCTAAGATTGAACTATGGTTAACCCTTCAACCCACCCAAGTTGCACCCCTACCGTGCATCACTTTCAATCTTTCTGTTGTATGTTGATTAGTCTAAAATCTGCACTACTATTTATGTTACTGTGGCCCTAATTCACATGCTAGCAAGGTGCACCTTGCTAGAATTATACCTTCTGATAGCCTACCTAGCGACGCTATCCACTTGTACTAAGGCAGGGCTTAATAGGAGCAAGAGATTTGGTGGCTACGACCAGAATGAAATATTATTTAATCATAGAAATACCATGCAAGGTGCACCTATTAGAATCGGAACATACCAATACCAAGAAATGAAGACAATGTTAAGCATACCCATAAACTGATGGCAAACCTTTTGATTCGCATTGCATTCTCATCTGTCTGCCATGTTTTGAGCTTAAGCCGACCAAGATCGGGTCCTTCTCATGACTCATTCTATGTTTTTTTAATATGCAATTTGTCATTTTTTTTTTTTGGATCGGAATGAATTTGATTTTCTTGACGACACTAGAGGTCGAACCTAGAGTGCTAACAAGTGCCACAACACGAATACAAATCCACAAATCAACCTCTCAAAAAATGGACATAAGACCTCTCTCTCTCTCTCTCTCTCTCTCTCTCTCTCTCTCTCTCTCTCTCTCTCCTCTCCCTCCCTATTATAGATGGGAGTGGTTACAACTTTTTTTCATTTCCTCTTTGGGCACCTTCACCGTATCTTAAAGGTGTCGATTACTTCTAACCTTGGTTGTGGGCAATATGAATTGCACTCTTACATCCTAGCCCTATCACTCTCTTTTGTCAGCATTCCTGTAACTTGTGCTGCTATAACCTGAATTACCTAGAACATCATCCCTAGGGTGAAGCTCACCTGAAATGCAATCAGGAAGAGAACTTACAGCATTTGAGTACAAGTATCTTCGACTTAAAGCACCACCAACTTTACCAAATACTACAAGAAGCAACATGGGGGCTCCGTCCCACAGAAATCAATGCAGTCCAATATTTCTGTGTCGATTTTGTTTCCTACCATTCAGAAAATCAATGAGTCATGCGGAAAAGCTCTTGGGGGTTGAGTCAATAGCATGTACTCCACTGTAAAAAGGAAGTCACATGAATAAACCGTACCAACTCCTTGGGGCCATCTCCCAAGGATTTCTCTCCATAAGTACTTGGTGTGTAGAATGCATGGGCTGTATGTGCCTGGGAGGATTAGGTGGGTAAGCTAAGAGGCTCGGATGCCTCAGAGACAAAATAAAGGAGATATATGGAGTGAGAGTCGGAAATAGAACATGCACTAGGACATAAGCCCCTATGTTCCCTGTAGAGCAATCAATTGCAGTAGTAAAAACAAGGGCAATATAAACATTTAATATTTCATTTGATCGCCAAAATCAAAATTTGGAATGCACCAGTACAGGTTAAGGTTAGAGCTGCATCATTAACATATTAAACTTTTTTCAGCTGTACTAGTTTTGAGCAATCAGACACAGCATAAGAATCTTGATCTCTTACAATTTTAATAATTGCGGGTAGAGGTTCGTCATAATGTGTACTTTGCAATAAGCTCTCCAACTTTTTGAGCATGGAGAACCCTCAGAAAAATGAGAACCACAGAGAGAGAGAAGAAAATAAACTTCAGAGGAGGATATAAATTCAAAACAAACAACAACATTACACTTCACATGTTAGAAGGTTCTTTTCGCAATTAACATGCTAGTACCAACTAAGCTTACCAGTTCGTACCCAAATTACATAATGACATAGCCACTCCTATTATTTTAATCAGCATTGCTCAAGACAAACCTTTTACCCATACTTATCTGAAGCCACATTGTTTTCCACAAATTATAACACCAATTTATCAGAATATACATGCTCTTCTCAGCTACTCTGCACTTGAAGTTAAGAAATAAATACTCAAAAGCTCAAAACTAAATATACCTTGTGAGGGTCTCAATATGATGGGGCAACAGTTGATGACTTCAATTTCTTTGGAGGTGGGTTTCCTCCAGATATCACCACATAGGAATAGAAGCATAGCATTGCAAAACTGTAATAAATTCATAGCATAAAATACATTTACAGAATGCCTCGTGCTATAAACCAAAGAACTTCAAGAACAAAGGCACTAAAACCAGATATTACAGTACCTGATAAAAGCATAAAAGCCAGTTGGAAAGAGTTTCTTCGTCTGCACCAACAATACCATTTTAAGTTACAAATCGAGAATACGCTAGGCAATGGGTGAGAACAATATGGTCAAGATGTGAGTACTACCAGTGAGTAGGTCTGAAAGTTCTTCCAGAGAAGCGCCACAGAGAGTACTGCAAGGTCAGAAGTAAAACATCCATATTACAGACGGCAACATCACACAGGTAAGTCGATGTTCGTCATAGCAGCGACAAAGCAGAAAAAAAATTTGCAACCCTACCATTTAAATCTGTTTTCTAGACACCTGGGTATTAAGCTTAGCTTATAGATGACAACCTTGCTCTCAAAGAATGATTTTTCTCTTTCTTTTTTTTAACCATTTTTGTTCTATTGTCAATTGAATGCATCTCAGGTCGGAAAAGCAACCGCTTCTAGAAAGCAAGCTTGTCCTTCACTTTTTTATAGCTAATGGAAAGAATGAAAAAAAGTCAAATATATCGTCATGACGGACATTGCTAACATGAGAAACGGCAACAGAAACAGGGGCAATTACATGTACCCGCCTCATATCAATCAACGTTCATGAGGCTGCTCTAGTAATTACAAGCAGCTGCTTCTCACGATAGGTTAAAAGAACTAAGTTACCATCAAATTTACCCCGTATCAACAGTACAATTAATGCACCCCCCAAAAATTAAAACAAGGAAAAACAAAGTAATGTAGCATGCATTGTTCATGTTACCAGATCATGACAGAGTTTTTGCTACAATAACAATATGAGCAGACTTTATTTAAGATGAATAGCTGAAACTAGGGTTATATAATGGTAACGTAATTAATTACTAAATTTAAAAATTCCCATCAGTGCTTATTCCTTGAGGAAGGTGGACACCCATTGATAAAAAGGGTAAAAAATTTCAGTGAGAAATTAGAGGCGTTATGTTCACATAAGTAGCTTTAGAAAATTCAAACTAAAAGAATAACTTTTACTTTCATAATTAAAATTCAACATATGAGTTCATCACCAACTGTCCCACCTAAAATAATATAGAGCCACTGGAGACTATGAACATTTGGGCAGGCTAGAAAGGAAGTATTCAGGATGTATATTTCGAGAGCAAAGAGGAAAATTCCTCTCGCGCCATCCAATATAAGATGTCGAGCTCAAAAATAGAGCATGGGTTCAAGGTGCCAAAAATTGAGTAGAGAAGGCTTGAAACGAAATATGAAAGGAATTATATGCCAGAAACTCATCAAAGTTGGATGACTTTCGTGCTGATGGTGATGTAATTGAGGTTATTGTCTCCCAGTCCTGTAATGAAGTTATATTTAGATTGGGGCAATGTGTCAAGTCCTGAATAAAAACCATCAAAGCAACCACTTGGGCATTAGCAGTCTGCCCATACTGCTAGGAAGCCCCAACCACCCCACCAGTGCTTGATGAGTCCAATAACAGTGATACAACCAGTAAAAAAAAAATGATGACATGATCAATTACTTTACAAGATTTAGTATTGTGTGTGATGTGGATTATGACCATCAACTATACAAGTTTTATAAAAATGAAAAAGTGAGACCTCATTAGTACTTGGCTAGGTTTCATCAAATGTTAGTCCATTCAACAAGATCCAAACGCACAAGGGTATGGTATAGCTTCTTTTCAGAGGCTCGTGATAATACAAAACGAAGACCCCACGAATTTGGTTATGTAAAGTGAAGGAGATCAGGGTCCAAGATGAAACCTGTAGGGGAAGATTTATCATGGGTGAGCTGCGGCTATGTGAGAGGGATGGTGTCAAACCTAGGGGAAACATTAGAACCTAGTAACATCATGTAGTTCCTCTAAATTTAAAACCCTAGCTACTTGTCGGTCATAGCCCTACAAAAGTCTAAAGCCCAAAACATTGCAATAAGATCTAAAGGTTCATTATACATGGACCAAATGGTTGGAAACAACGAAGGAAAAGGGTTACTTTCACAGATTAGCCATAGACATTAACCAAAGGGTAGTGTTGTTTGGAGGGAAAAAATGTAAAGTGAACGAAATGCGTCTTCTCATCCTCCTATATGTCACTCTGCTGACATCAAAAGGGAAAAGTTGCAGCAACACAAAACCCTGCTCTTTTCTATCAAAAAATACCAATAGTAGAAAGAAAAAGTTGGATGGATACTGAGCATATTAAAAACTCTTGTTCCTGATTTAAATTAAAATATCACCCCATGCCCAAAAGAAAATTCAATATAACCATTAGAATGACAACCATTAGAATGACAATAAGAGCACAGAATAAGAAGAAAAAGATTATGCCAGGGAAAATCACAGTATGCCAGCTAAGAAAACTACAAAAATAACCAAAAGAACAAAAGATTCAAGCATATAGTATAAAAAAGACATACAGCACCAGCACCCCTAAAATTGAAAGAACAAAGTACCTGCTTGACCTAGTATGAACGGTAAGCTGGATTTTCCTTGTCTCCAGACCTTTAAGCTAGTAGTGCTGAGAGCCAGTAAAGCACCTCCAAAAAGCACACCAGTGCTCAAGATAGTAGGATTTCTAGAGAAAATAAAACCAACAAGCCCCCCGCTTAAAACAAGCCCACCTGCGGTGATTACAATAAAAACAAAGTGGCAATATGTGAACAATTAATCAGGGATAATTTCCTTTTTGTTGACAACAAAGCCTGATTAAAAGAAAAAAGATAAGTATGATTACATGCTAGATGACATAACATATAAAATTACGTTCCCAAAAAAAAGACATAATATATAAATTAATCCCAGTCATCATCACACTAGTTACCCTTGCTAGGTAGAAAGTGAAGTCAAGTATTGTCTTTCATTCCAAGACTTAACATATAAATAATTTAATCCATTGCTAAGTTTAGAATTTAAATATAGAAATGCAATTCCTTATGAATTCATGACAACGTAGCAAATTGAAAAAATTCAAGTCTTTCATACAGTATGTTCATATATTCTCTCTTCCCCTGAATTTCTGATTTATTGATCAAGTTCTAATTGGTGATGCTTGCTTGACATTCAAACGTATGAAGGGAATTTATGATAGAATCACTTCTATTTTTAAAAATAGAGAGAGTAATCCTATTTGGTGACATAATGATGTGATAAATAAAAGGGTCCAATCTAATATTACTAATTTAAGGGTAAGTCTATGGTATCAAAAGAGATGTAGCGAAAGATGAAACAATTAGGGTTAAGCTATAACTTTTTAGGATCAAATTATAACTCAAAAACTTTATGATCGATCACGAAAAATACACTTTCAAACGCAAAGTTATACATTTTAAAGGATATTTGTGATCGATCAGGACATTTGTGATTGATCACGAATAACCTCAAAGAGTTGTGATTTTTTTCTTAAAAGCTGTAACTTGACCTTTAAAGTTTTTAATTTTCAATACGCTACCAAAAAATCTATTTTTTATACTATATACTTATTGTTATTCTAATTAGATTTTTGGTATAGTCGACTTACCGCTATTCTAATTACAACCCTTGGACTTCTTCATTAGAACTATATCACTTAATATATTTTTAGGCCAAATTTTTTAAATCTTAAAAGTATTATTCAAATATACAGATACTCATAAATTTTGACAATATTTTAGTGGAAAAAATTTTTACAATTTCAAATATATCCAAAAAAAATTCAGGATTGCACTGGGGCAGTTGCCCCAATACCCCCAATGTAAATCTGCCCATGAATGGATGCAAACGACAGAGGTCAATGTGTTACATGGGCAAAAATTTTGGGGGTGCTAAATGAAATATTTCAAATATAAAGGATCTAGGTGATTAAGTGACATATTCTATTATACTGTCTATTGAAATAAAACCAAAAAACCAAACAAAAATCACATTTTTTCCCAAAAAAAAACTTAAACAGTATAAACATTGATATGTTTGCATATTGTGATGACATCATGAAATTCTAGTGGTTATAGTAACGGACACTAATGACAAGGTTCTGTGTGTTACATGTGCATAAACTTTAGAGGAATAAATGTAATATTTCAAATGTGAGGGGTTTAAGTGATTAAGTGACAAACCTTAAGGGGTTCAAGTGTAATAACTAAACATCTTCCACCTTCAATTGGGACATTTTGGTCTTTTACTTGGTTCTGTTAGCTCCATTATTCAATCGTCACCAACAAGGGGTCTGATTGTAATATTCCAAATGTGAGGGGTCAATATGATTAAGTGACAAATCTCAAAGGGTTCAGATGTAATTTAACCCTAAAATTTTACTTAGGAGACAGAAAATGTGCGATAAATACCACTAAGTTTCTATAAATATTTTGGGAGATGAAAAACATGTAATGTATGACCTAATAAAATGCAAGAAATACACTATGCCTCCAGTTAGCAAGTCTCTTCGATGACAGTGGTTACATAAATGAATTCCAACTCCACCCCTCAAATTTACGAAAAAAGGAAAAATTCAAGACCAAGATTAAATAAAACTCACCAAAGGGAATTCCAAAACAAAAATCATGGATCATCGCAGCCCTTTTCTGTTGAGTGACAACATGTTCTTCAATTGGCTCACTCAACCCATTCCCTGCAACTTGATCTTCAGAAGTCAAATATGATCTTGCTGATCTTCCATTATTTGATTCTGATACTTTAGTTGTATAACTTAAAGTTGCATTAGACTCTGAACTGGTTTTCTTTGTGCCATGTCCATCATGGCCCATTACAACAAAAACCTAAAAAACAATGACTTTAAGCAATTAAAATCATTTCTAGAGGGGATTTCATTACTAAATTGTCTGCAGAAGTACAAAAGTACAAAATTTTAGGAAAATGAAAGTAGGCATATCTCTATTAGAGGACTTGGTACCTCTACGAAGATCTGTGGAATGTCAAAAATGAGAGATCTAGCAACAAATCTATACTACCATAAAATGTCAAAAAAAAGTGAAAAACTTTTGATTGACTAAATTAGCCTAAAAATAAGCACAAAATGACAGCATTATCCCTTTTAATACTCTTAATGTAACCTGTTAAGCTACTCTTAAAGTTTCATATCTTCAATCCTATTTATCATTGTGAAAACTCAAAACACACTGACAGATCCAACTCCAATGTTGCCCTATTGAGCTAATTTATTCTCAACTAATTCATATCATTTAGGCCGTACTGATTCTGGTAGTATATCAGTTAACCAAGAGATATCCAATGTGCACTGAATATATTATAAATTAGAAGATGACCCATGTCATCCCTTCCATATTCTCACTTATGTCACATATTAGATTTTTTTGCTGCAAATTATTCAAAGACTTATACCCCAACCTTTCTACATTGCAGACCAGCAGGTTGCTTAAGAGGGTTTGCTTCCACAATGTGAAGATTGAATCTCTGACTCACCTGGTTGTCCGACCGACCTTTCTCTGGTTAACTTCATTGATTTTATATTACTTATAAACAGAGGATTCAAGCTTTAGTCGTTACGATTCTATCATATACATCCAAATTTTATGTGATCCTTCTTGATTATATTTTTTTAATCACAATTCGTATATAGCAAAAAAACGTTGAAGTTTTGTTGTCCCTTAATTTTCAGTGTTTTTCTCTATTTGGTTTATTTGCACCTTGAAATTTATGCAATTGTATTTGTGCATTAAAATTTTAGGAATTGTTGTGGCCAGGTAAATGCAACATTTTAATTGTTGACAGACGTGGCTTTGATGGTGGTAGTGTTACTCTTGCTAATAATATTACTGATGAGTAGATAAAAAGGCCTTGCAAGTCCTTTTCAAGGATTCATCTATGTGACCTTCAAGTGGGAGTGCTCGCGAAGACACTAACCATATAAGTGTGACCTAGAGCATATGCCACACATATGTCAAGTCATTTGAAGTGGGAGGGAGTCATGACACTTGCCAGCTCCATTTTCCCTCCACCACTGTAGCTCGGTGATGATTTATCCATGAACTATACAATAATCTGATGTTAGACCAATCCTAAACTTCTACAGATTCCGAAACGGCTCCAAGGAACAACATGATTTTAGTTTCGTTCATTTATTTTAACTTTTTAAAATATTACTTAGTGCAACATGAAATTAAAGCTAACCATTGTTGTGTGTTCAACCATCTTCTTAATTGCTCTAGATGTTTTGACTTGCTTAAGCACACCATTAAGTGAGATGGGCACATGAAAGAATAGTTGTTTCTCAAGAAGTTGGATTTTAGGATTTTTTATTGGAACCAATTCCAATGAGAAGATTGCAAGAAGAATACAAAAAATAAAAACTCATTCGCCATGCTCTTTTGTTTTATGGGGTTTAACTAAATTGTTGGTTGTCTAAAGGCTCATCATCTGTGATTCAACCATTCAAGTTGTTAAGAAACTTGGCCTGTGTGAACTTCTTTGTGGTTTTATTCATTTTTTCTTTTAGGTTAGCCTATGGTTTTGTACAACCACTTTTCAAATCACATAAAATTTGTGCTTTGGGCAAACCAAAAATCTTTTGTTGGTTATCTTATTAATTCTTTGGCAAAACAAAAACTTTTACAAATATCATTATTAATCTCCATGATAAATTCCCCTAAAACTAGATTTGTTTTTAGACACAAATAATTAATTACTTTTCAAGTGGAAGGATGGAGCAACTAGACTTTAAGTTTAGGATAAGCTTTACATTATGGGTTAGTCTGAAACTACACGACCCACCTTCACCATCACTTGTAGGGTTGTTAGTCGAACGAGCACAAACCGAACTTAAAAAGCCTATTTCTTAATCGAGTTTAAAAAATTATTCAAGTTCAACTCATTTAGAAAACGAACTAAGTCTGAACGAGCCCAACATGAGTCGAGCTCAAACCGAACCCGAGTATTTGCACATAAACAAGTCAACCCTGTCAAGTTTGAGCCAAGCCAATCGAGCTTGTTTTCTAAACGAGCTTAAAAACTTGTTCAAGTTTGGACTTGTTTAAAAAACGAACTGAGCCGAACCTGAGCTAAGCTCGAGTAGCTCAGTTCGATTAACAACCATAATCACTTGTATCAGGTTCTATATCAAAGTATATGTTTTTTGTTTTTTTGTAAGAAAAGTAGATGTTTATTTTCTCCATATCCTTTGTCATTACTAAAATTCTCTTTACTATTTTCTAGTTGTGGTTTCATGTAATTTACAATAAATAAGTTGTGGATTTTATGTAAATTTTATTTTTATTACATTTTTGTGTGAGTTTTTGTTAATGATGTTTCTTTGTATAATTGATGTGGCAATGAGTTGTTTAGGTTTTAAACTTCAGTTGCAGCAAAATGGGTTTTCTTAGTTAGTTTATTTTTCTAATGTCGTTGGGGGATTGTGTTTGGGAGTAAATATAGAGGATTATTTTCCGATTCTAGAGTTTACTAAGAGCTTATTTTTAACAAGACCCTATGAAGATTTGCATTGAAGTTAAGTCAGTTTAATCTTTGGCTTAAATATTTGATTGGTGATTTTAAAAAAAAAAAAGACATGTCAAAATTGTTTATTTGATTCCTCCCCTTCCTCATACACGATACAATTTCACAAATATTTCATTTTAATTTTTTATTTCTTTGATTTTTTGAGTTATGAGCCACCATCGGCAAATATTGACATTTTATTTTGGTTCCACCATTGGCATATGTCATGATTTTTGTTTGCTAGTGCATACTCAAAATTTATAATGTTAACTTAGTTACGAAGAGTCAAAGTTTTCTTAGTATACCCCTATATTGGTGGATGAGTTTCAAATATTAAGTATAACAATTCTTCAATAAGGCTGAAAATAGAAACATTCATATACTCTGATTAATAACAAAAATAAAAATTATAACGCAACATGATTCACATGCAACACACATATGCATCAACTAATACTAGAAAAATGGTCATACTAATAAAATAATATTGGCATTTCTTCATATCAGAAGAAATTAAATGGCCTTGACTTGCAAAATACTAACATGAAAGAAAGGGAAAACATAAAGCATAGGACCAAAATACAAAGACGTATTGTAGACTCATTATGCAATAAACATCGATATGAGGACAATTCCTAGTACACAGTGTAAACTAACACTCGGCATTCATCCCACCCCTTTCTATTTCAAAAATGTGCCACAGTATCAATTGGATTATGATGCCACATAAACGAAGACTCCCAAAGAAATTCAAACTACAAGTTAACCTAACGCATCACAGCACAAATATTTTCTTGATTGTTAAAAGAATTATATATTTAGATGTCTTTAGTAAATACAACCAATCAAAATCTACCAAGACACAAGTAAAATAATTATATATTTGCCGAGTAAAAAATTCTAACATTGGAATTGTAGTTCTCAAACTCTCAACTTCTGAGATTTTAGCATGAGGATTAAGCTACTATAGGTCTGTAACCTTACCTATAAATTCTAATCACATCTTACATAAGGTTCACTTGAGCAGTGGCTCTTGCAAAATTAATATAATAAATTGGTAGTCTCTCTAGCATGCTCTCAATCCCAACTTAGCCCATAAACTCTTCATTAATGATACTTTAGTCCCTTAAACCCAATTGAGAACTTGCAGAACAGCGGAAGTGGACATGTGTTGGGCATCATCAACATACACATACTTTGCTGTATCAATAATGTGGATTTAAGTTAGCTATTGAACCATTTGAAGACAAAGGTGAAAGCTTTACGAAGTGATGTACCAAAACCTAAAGTTTAGGGACCAAACTTCAAGGACCACGATTGTATCTTACTCTTCAAAAAAAAAAAAAACTTAATTTTCTTCCGTTTCTTTTGATTTCCAGCAATTTCTTAAGAACCAAACATTAGCATCACATAAGATCATAGTACTAACTGAAGCTTAACCCTAATTCGATCAAGCATTGCATGGTGTTACCAATATAAATCACAGTTCCGATTCAATAAAGCTGCCTAAAGTGAGAAAAACTAGATGGGTTAAATTTCATACAGTATGGAGCTCTCTATTTTCCAGAATTCGAATACAAAGATCAAAGTTTGGAAAGAAAAATCAGGGGTTTTACCTTTTGACGAAGAGCGGGACATGGGTATGACCTTGTGTGGAGATGTAATCTGCGGCTGATCGAAGATGAGCATGAGAGTTGAAAGATTGCAGTTGACATGATGAATGATTTCGATTATTCGGGGGAAAAAAAAACGAAGAAGAAAAGAAAAAAACTCAGCGATGGGAATGTGTTCCTCAGGTTTGACTTTCACTGAACGTGGCTCCTCGTTCAGTTCTGTCGTCCCAAAAAATTATCAAATTTATTAGGCCAATCACTTAGACCCTGGCATTTAAAATATTACTAGAGTCCTGAATGTTCTACAGGGTGTTACGATCCTCGCCCAAACAAAAAACATCCGTTAATTAATTACACTTATATCCTCTAAAGTTTATAAATATATAATATTTAGATCTCTTAGATTTAAAATATTATACTTAAACCAAAAATATTCTAATCAAATATCAAATATCAAATATTTTAAATTTTACAACAACAATTCATGTTCTATTGTATTATTTATTGAAATAAATTAAAATTTTTAATTTTAATTTTTTTTAAAAAAAATTTAATTAGTATACAATTATACTATCTATTGGAATAAAACTAAAAAGTTAAATAAGGAGGCTAAGTCATTCGTAATAGAACATGAATTTTACATCCAAAATTTATGTTTTATTATGTCATTTATTGAAATAAAATCAAAAATAAAAGTCTAGTTTTCAAAAAAAAGTCATAATTAGTATATAATTATATTATTTATTAGAATAAAACTAAAATATTAAACAAGAGGTCAAACTGTAATAGACACAATATCTTTTAACTTTAATTGGAATAGTTTGATATTTTAATTTGGTCATTTAAACGACTAAATTAAATTTCAATAGATAATATAATTGTATATTAATTACGTTTTTTTAAGAAAAATTTGAATTTTTATTTTTGATTTTATTTCAATAGATGATATAATAGAACACGAATTTTGATTGTAAAATTTAAAATATTTGATATTTTTCTTTGATTACAGTATTTTTTGTTTAAATATAATATTTTAAACTTAAGGGGTCTAAGTATTATATACCTACAAACTTTATATTAATTATAATTTATTAACTGATATACTTAAAACAGGGTTTAAATGTTGCGCGCGTACAAATTTTAAGAGGTCTGTGTATAATATTTCAAATATTAGGGATATGAGTAATTAAGTAACAAATTTTAGGGGTCTAGATATAATTCTCCCAATTTATTAGGGTAAATCACATAAATTGCCCCTTAACTTTAGTTTTTGTTTTAAATTACACCCTCAACTTTCAATTTTTTTAATTTCCTCCCTGAACTATTTAATTTATTTTAATCAACACCATCTGTTAGATTCAGGGTTAAGTGGGAATGAAAGCCTAATGTGAACTGCAGACAGTCTGCAGATGACAGCTTGTGGAGGGGATTTTCAACATTTTTAGGTGTTAAGTACATACAGTTGGGCCCCAAGATCTCTCTCATTTTCCTCCTGATGCTCTGTTATTAGACTCATTCTCTTCTTGATGCTCTGTTCAGTCCAATTGACTGCCACTGAGACTGAGAGGGAGAGAGAGAATATTGTGAGAGAGAAAGGAAGCCAATACCTGGATGTTTACCGCCACCATGGGAGAAGAGCAATAATAAAGACCTCCTAAACTGATCATAATCCAAACAGGAGATTCCTCTCTTAATACAGATTACTTAGATAGAGATTTAAGGTGTGTACGTGAGTGGTGAAATTAAATTTACAATTTGTTTTGTTCAATGGTTTGTAGGTTGTAATATTATTTTGTTACTTGTGTATTTTGTTTTGAAATTACCAAAAAGGTGAAATTGTTAAATATATATTTGTAATTAACTAAATTCATGGAGTCCATCGTAAACCTCAGCATATTCTATGGTCATGATGATACTATAAAGATTGAAGGAATGAGATCAAGCGTCAAAATTACATCATTTGTACTCCGAATACACCTTCAAACTCATGGCAAAAGTAAATGACCTAGATACATAAGATGATCCTTTAGTGGTTAACTTAAGAGAATTAGGGTTAAATGAAATCGAGATTAATTCGTATATAACTCCTTAAGTGTTTTTCAATGTAAATATTTTCTAAAATCATTTTATAATTTTGAAAACATAGTTTAAAAAATTATCAACCCCCTTTTAAGCAACACCTTTCAATGATCAAGAGGACAAATTTCTTGTTTTATTTTAGGCTTAAAAAAATCAATAACCTTCCTTAGAGATGTTTTTTTTTTATGTCTTTGGGAGAAAAAAAAGGGAAAAGATCAAATAGAGGAGATCAAGGTTTGCTCGAGCAGTCCCCATAATTGCTCAAGCAATTTGCTCTCCTAAATTAGTTTAAAACATGATATTCGTTCCAAAGATTATCACCCTATGACAACCCTCCCACCGACTGAGCAGTCGTTTGTGAATTTAAATTTTTTTGTTGATCAAGATTACTCTTATTTCAAGCCCATAAATAGGTAGTGGAGATCTAATATTGCTGATGAAATTATTTTTACAGCACACACAAAACGAGAGAGAGAGAGAGAGAGAGAGAGAGAGAGAGAGAGAGAGAGAGAGAGAGAGAGAGAGAGAGAGAGAGAGAGTTGCAAGCTAATTCCCCCTTACTTTCCAGCCCTTACAGAATGACATCTAGAGAACAAAGATCAACCAGCACTCCCTCAACTCACTAACACATTAAGGTAGGGAAAACATCCAAATATTTACATATATATACCCAAAACACGAAAATGAGTTCAACCAGAAACAAGATCTTGCAATTGCATCTTCTTAGAGCCAGTCAAGGCTGAGTTCCTCGAATCAATGGAGAGATCGTATACGGTGCGTCTACATTTTGTTCACTCGGAAGATCATATACAACCAGTCCATGAAGTTTCTTCAGTGCTTTGTTAGACAAATAAGTAAACCAACACCCAAATGTACAAAACTCCGGAAAATCTCCTACTCCTACTTGGTTGAGCACCCTCTGAAAGGACCCCGTTGATCCAAATAAATTCAGAATGTTACAAAAGGTGAAATAGTACGAATATTAGTGAATTCCTTTCATTTTTCTGGATATTTGTTGAGAACTGCCACTTTTTCCATCAGTCCTAATCACTTCACCATTAAAAGAATACCAAGAAGAAAGCCGGAGCTTACCTGGCGAACTGTGACCAGAGTATGTATCGAATAACCCAAGTCGTTGCTTAGGTGTGCTCAATGATCTTGCCTTTGCCTTGGCAGATTCTGTGACAGCCATGTAAGTTGGAAAAACAGGAGAGTTTGGTAAAGAGCTTTCATCTCCAATTGACTTCTGTTTTGCATGACTAAATGATCTTCTTGGGTGTGAAAATGGTGAATTCAATTCTTCTATTGATCCCCGAAAACTTTCATTTCTCAGTCTAAGTTGTGCTGATCTGTATGTATTGCCAGCAATTAAATTCGAATGGACAGTTAATTTTATCTTGTCTGTTTCTCTCCTTTTATGACCTTCAATTCCATCCCAGTGTTTTTGCCAGTGGCTCTTTCTTTCCTTCTCCTTGCGGGTTGATTCTTCCAGAATTTGATCATTTCTTCTATCCTGAAAGAGATAAACTGCCCAATAAATCTTTATCCTATACGATACAAGTACTCTAATGTTCTCTTTGATTGCCAAGAAAATAGATGAGATCTTAATTGGAAAAAAAAATGGAATATCACCAAGAATCTCAGTACAAAGAAAGCTACCCCATTGGAGCAGAAATCTTTCTTTATAAGCTCTCTTTTTGCAATGGCCTCTTGCTTTCTTGGCCATAAGGCTTCCATGTCTTCCCTCGAAAACAAGCTGCAATCCCAATTTCTCTGACTTTGGCCTTCAAGCTGTACATGGGCAAAACACAGGACAATATTGGATTCAAACTTGGTTACAAAAAATTTTTTTTAGGATATTTGGTGAAGTTAATCTCCAGACGGATGGACACTTTTGAAGAAAAATAAATCCATTTTAGGGGTGGAAACAACTGTAGCCAGTTGAAAAAATGCAACTTACCTCAAAACAGACTTTGCTCATTGGTGTGTGCATGTATTACTTTTATAAATCAAACCCTACAAATTGGCCAACACAAATAGTTGCGGATGGCAAAAAGTCATTATCCTATTGTTTGCTTCGAGTTAGACCATATGAAAGGATCTACAGTTGAAATGATCATATATGTAAATATCGGACTTACCTTTCGTCGCCTCTCTTCCAAATTTTTTGGGCTTAGAGAGTCTGTATTTGCACCATCTGTACAACTTCCATTTACAGCGGAAACTGTCAGTCGGTGGACTTGAGATTCTGTCTTTGTCATAGACTGCAACTGCTTCAACTTGCTGATTACTCTGCGCCTCACAATTTGGCCACGAATGACAGCTTGAAGCCTCACTACTCCCTTCAATGCTCTCAATGCTGTCCTTGCCTGTGTCAATTCCATTGAAAATGCATTATAAGTCAGACAGGCATCCTTGTTTCCACAAAGAGCTGGTATGTTTAGGACTTCCTATAAATACAACAATCAATCAATTGAAATCCTCTGAATTAACAGGCACTTCTGTTGGGCCAGAATCTACCCAAAACTTTGGGCAGTTAAAAACTCGGCTGAAGATGAAATCACTTCAACAATATCTGGTCTGTTTCTTCTTGACAAGAAAAAACTTTTCATAAATTGGCAAATTGAAAACCATGTCAAGGCACAGGACGCAGAATGTGTTCTGTTGGTTCTTGTAGAGTCTTGCATTGAATACGTTTGTTTTAAATCCCAACAATCTTTTAAGAAGATTTAATCTGTCATGAAGGGCACACTTGGAGAACATCAAGTAATAAGGACATCTACTTGACAGTAGACTTTACCCTGCAATCAAGTTGGAGATCACCAGTAAAAACTTCACAATAAAGCAGTTACCAACAATGTTAAGGAGAAGTGAAACTATTTCACTAACTTCGTAATCTCCCTGAATTGGTAGAGCATGTGCACGCAAAATTTGCAGTGACAAGAGTTCATTCACCCAAGCTATCTCTTGCAAGTTCAAGTCCAGGAATAAGTCTCTTAAACTGGTAAGGTCACCTACCAGTTAACACTCTTAGATTGTACACTAGTTACAACTTACAACCTATATGGGCAGAGCTTTGCTTCCAGAAAACATCCTAGTATTCATTAGAGTTTTTCCAAGTCGATTTAGGCCACACCAAATGGCAGTTTCTCAAGCTATACATGGAATTCCTAAACTTCAGATGAGCAAGAAATTTACTTTAGCATGCATAGTTAAACAAATGAACAAACACTTTAAAGAAGCTTACAAGATAAGCCCGGAAAGCAGTTTGAATTTTAATAGCGGCCAAGTTTCGATTTCTCCTTTCGAATTCCTGAGGAGCACCTGTAAGCCTGACAACCTCTGCTGCAGCATGGGCAGCAGCAACTGCAGCCTCCGCTGCAGCTGCTGTTGCAATTGCAACAGCCAAAGCATGCTTTTTCTGCTCTTCTGTTGCTTCACTGAAGGTTTTCTGCGGAGCTTCAAGTGCAGGACATTGTCTGAGCTTAAACCTTCCAAACACCCATCTCCACCTCTTTGATTTCTGCCAAATTTCAGGTATTAAAAATGTATCATCCAAAGGAATAATGATCAATGAAAACTGATGAAAGAACTAATTCAACCTTCTCTGCTTTTGACTTTGCCTCAGATATGAAAAGTCTCTTCACAAAACTAAACCAGCTCCTTTTCTTTCCCATTCAGAATTCATAAAGCCACAGGGTCCAAATTTATCGAATGTCTGCCATTTTCCTTCCAACCTGTCTTGTTTGAACAAAAATTGTAGTCATTAACCAAATTTTTATATCGGTCATGAATGTTAAATTACCAACACAATTGCTACTATAACACAAATTTACTGACAAGAAGAAAGTAATAGCAAATCCTTCATTTTCTAGAGAAGCATACTGAGCAGATGAAAATCAGAGTTCCATTTTTCTTGCTCATCCCATCTGAAATTCTTGTAGCATATTAAATTAGCCTGAATGAAAAGTATAAAGAGTTTTTTTATGATAGTAATCAATGAATCGATAGAATCTCTCACCTTGACATTCAAATTATATATATTCATGTAATTAGACTGATTCAGGATATGTGGTTCAAACTTCAAACACAGTAAGTGCTTGAACAGTGAAGAACTTGAGACACAATTCAAGTTGACTTAAATGAACCCCCCCCCCCCCCAACAAAAAAAAAAACAACAAATTAAATATGTTTCATCAGGATCTCTAATCAACTCAATAACATACCTTTCAAACTCCTACGAAAGTGAAGAAGAAAGCCAAATCTATCCAGCAAGTGAACTCAGAAATGGCTCCATCTATGATCTTGACGCAACCTAAAATCTAATGATGGTCCAAACGGATTTATCTTTCTCATCTGTTGAATGACTTGAATCCAAGAGGATGTTGTTCTTTAGTTCTGTTTTTTAAAAGCATATCATGTGCTAAGATAAAGTGAGAGAAAGCAACTGTAAAGGAAAAGACTTCACAAATGATCTTTCAATTATAAAGCCTCCGTATTTACTTTTGCGGTGACTTATGAGAGAGTCCTTTTAACATCAAGGGGCCTCTTTCTCTGCCTCTTCCCTCTCTTTCTAACTGCCATTTTCACAACTTTCACTGACCAATTCAAATGTCTGTTTCTATGAATTTACCCAAATAACCTCAGGGCATGTTTTCTTGGAGAAACTCTTCATGGCAAATGTTGGTCGACCCAGATCCACTCAATTTAGTTTAAACTCAGTCATTTATCATTAAATTTATTGCGTCCTCCGAGATTTTACAGAGCTTGTAGAAAACCACAAATGGGATCCACTAAATTCAACTATACATGATTCAAACAATCCAATATTGACAATATTTAAAATTGAGAAGATCGAAAACCTATGGCTATAATGCTGGACGGATGCCTACCAAGAGGCTACTGTTTGTACGGATATCTCCATTCTTCAACGTTGTAATCACCTATGTCGTCCTGTCATTAAATTAACAATGGTACAACATCATAGTAGGAATGTGTCGCTATTCGTAATTATGCTCCATATTTATTATAAACCCCGTAACGCGACCGGAGCTACACAAGGTAGCCCCTTTTTGTTATGAAGGAGGGCGGTAAAGTTCAAACCTGCGACCCTAACGGGCCAACAGTGGGTTGTGGAGCCATTAGGCTACCGCTCATCTTCTACATTATACTCCTTACTCCCTAGCAGTTTAATAACCCATGAAACATGGGTTCGGCTACCGCATAGAAATATCAATTTTTAGTACAGTATCTCTATTTTTCATCCAATAAAAATGTATAGTAATTTTTTTACAATTATTTGTATTACTTTATTATTAAATCATTCAAACTAAAATCATGGACTCCGGCTCATAGTATCTCATCTCTTGAAGAACTTTTGTCATACACCATACATGCAAAATATTTTCTTCAAAAAAAGTAAATGCAGCTTTTATCACACAAAAAACTAAAAGCATGTTCAATTACTGAATCCCTTGACTCATAGTAAAGAAGATATCAAGTCAATGAATCAGTAAACTCACTGAATTATGATGGCGGTGGCTAGTTCTTCTTCCCCAACATTGCAAAAATGCTATTGGGTTTTTGTCTTTGAATGCCTTCTGGTTCTCTCCTTCTAAATAAGCACCCTCAGGTTCCAAACTTAAACACCCAAAAAAAAAAAAACTGTAATTCTGTAAACCCACCTCTGATAAACTCGGGCAAATTCTTAGGCGTCTCCAATTATTGGAAAAGAAGAGTTATTTGAGAAACTATGGACATCAATGTATACACTTAAAGCTTCAGCCGCTCGATGCATATATGCATGTGTGTCTGATTGTTTCACAAAAATACTGGCGGCTGTGAGCCTCTGGTAAATGGCAGTGTTCGGCAGTCAAGAATGGCACGTGCTGGCTCTGTGTGTGTGTCTGAGAGAGAGAGAGGCGTTTTGGTGGGTGCGAGTACTTCGTTTGGATGTTGGGAAGAAAACGATGAACATCGTTTGTGTACTTGCAGTGTGGCAGATGTAAGAAAAAGAAGATAGGGTAAATCCATTTGGCCCATGAAAGATACAAAACAAATTTAGTTTCTCATAAAATGATTAATTCTTTTATACTGTCCTTTTAAAAAATAAAAAATATTATAATATAATTCATTATCTTATTTTCATCAAATCAATCAATTAAAAATCACAAAATAAATGAACGACCAAACAAAAATAAAACGATAGACCATATTATAATATTTTTTATTTTTTGAAGGGATAATATAAAAAAATTAATCATTCAGAAATAAATTAAAAAATTTTGTATCTTTCAAGGGGGAAAATTGAATTTTTCCAAGAGGATAATGCTTGGACTTCAGTAAATCGTTTGGCCGGCAAATCTTACAGGGGTGATATTGTAATTATATGAAAATGAAAGGGACGTTCTTGTATTTAGGACAATTAATAGGTATTACTATAATTTGCCATATATTTTTTTTCAATTGGGACCTAAAAATTTCTTTTAATGATGTATTAAGCGATAAATTTATAATTAAAAAATTAACAATTATAGCAACAATAATACTATTGTACCATGTCACTGCTATATCATTTGATCACATCTAAATAGTATTACTTGGTTGTGAATATTATTACTATATTACTTGAAAACTTTATAAAATATAAATTCCTAATTCCTAATTTATGTTCCTATAAAGTAGCATATTCTTCCTCATATTTGAATTAATGCAGCAGATACTTTTCTATGGTTTCATTCAATTTAAATTCATCAAAGACAATATCATAATTCTTATAAAATTTCAAAATACTTTGTGAGGTATTTGAAATGTTATATTTGGTCTCTATAATAGATTTCTCCAATAATCAATGGACTTAAGGTTTTTTAGGGCATTTTTAATCATAACTCAAATTTAAACTTAAATTTAAATAAAAAATTTGATTTAGTATAGAGTACTTCAATTGACAAATAACAAGCTCAAATATCTACTCAAATCTTATAAAAAAACTATTTATTGTCCCAAAACTTATTTTTTTTGTTATTAAAATAATAAAATAAATGAAACTTTAGTATTTTTCTACAAAATGGGAAATGCAAAAAAAAAAATTGAATATGGATACAACAATACCACCCGGGAATAAAAAGAAATATAAAAAACAAAAGAAAAGAAAACCGCTTCAAAATTCCAGATTGTTCTAATCTTTTATCTTCTTTTGTAAATCCATATTAAAAAAAAAAAGTTACTTTAGCATGGGTTTGGTCTCACTAACACAAAAAACAGATTTTTTACAACAAAAATGAATGATTGAAGAAATAAAATAATGAATTTTCTAATTTTGTGGATGGTGAAGATTTGAAATTTCAGGAAGAATCGGTGGCATAAAATTACAAAACCAACGTTGTTTAACTCGAAAAAAAAATTGATGGGTAAACTTAGGGTTTATATAGTATGAAAGATAGGTTAGATTAGGGTTTTGAAAAATATAAAAAATCAATAAAATGGAAGATGAAAAGGAAGAAATTTATCTATCGGTCTTTAAAAGATTTGTGAATATTTCAGTGCTGGTGGTGGTCGATGATTGAAGCATTGTAGAAGATAGAGGCAAAAAAAGACAGAGAACAAGTCGTTAAAAAAATCTTTTGGCTTTCGATAAAATAAAAAGTTATCGTTGAAAATTTAATATAAAATTTAAGTCTTCCTTCCAAAATAAATTTTTTCTTGATTTGATATAAGTTTAATTTCAAGGTTTGAGAATGTTTTTAAACAATTTAGACTCAAATTTACATTTGAGTCTAAATTAGAGTTATGGTTAAAAATACTCTTACAAAGAAATCTTAAGCAATTGTTTGATGTTGTAGTCAATTTTCTTGTCTCAAAACTTTCATCAATGATAACAACCGACGAATTTAAAACAAGTAGAGTAACAACAAAATAATTAACAAAAGGAATCACACTTCTATTAATCTTGAAGGTTTCTGATTTACAAGAGATTGATTAAACAGCCAGCCTCTTACACTAATCCTAATTCTAAATCTGTTACTTTGGTGTTACTATTTTCTGGCCCCATTGCTCATGCTGGAAACTGACGATTGAGTGATACCCAAGCCATTTCATGTTCATGAAGTGATAGAGGGCTTGTTTGTTTCATCCAATTTCAAACCCACCAAACAGCTTTTGTTGTATGCGTCCAAGACTGAATCATTATTTCATTCCATTCCGCATTTCAAACCTACCAAGAAGGTTCATGATAAGCGTCAATGAACTTCTCCACTTTCTGCATAAAGTTGCGACAGACATGACAGTTTGATCTCCATATAGGTTTTACCAAATGAATACTCGCGTTCGTATGGCGGGTCCCATGGGAATGTGGGTCCCACTTTCCTCTAGATACACCATGTGAACATCTACAAAGTCTTTGACTAAAAAGTTCTCCAAGTAATCATACCCTAGCACTTAGCTTTCTAATCATGGCCCCGCAGAAAAGGGTTTCTGGAAACGGGTACTCCCCTGTCGGAGAAAATTGTTGGAGTAAAACATTTTTTTTTATAAAAAATTAATTTTTAGTTGATTTTAATTTTAAACTAAAGTGAGACCTATATATTATTTTAAATAAATTTTTGTGAATTTGTACGCTACTCAAAATGAAAAAGATCAAGACAGACTTTGGTTCGACCACACACGTATCCGTCAAAGTCTCGAGTGTGGGTGTGGGTCAGATTGAATATTATATTTTTGAGTAAAATTTATTTGTTAAATGAGTTTTTAATTTTTTACCTAATTTTGATTTTGTGTCCGTTGAAATTTAAAATTTGCATTGTTTGGATTTAATTTTTCCATCAATTTTGAATTTGAATTATTTTATAATTCTTCATCAATGAATATCTCTAAAATTTTTAAAATTTGCATTGTTCAGATTTAATTCTTCATCAATGAATAGTGACTATTCCAAACAGTTACCCTATATATTGTGAAAAAAAAAAATTGTACAATAAAAGCGTGTTTTAAAAATACCCTTTCAATATGAAATTTCTTGAAAATGTAACTCTAAAATACGTCATTGATGTAAAAATGTGTTTTTGAAATACGATTTCATAAAAACAATAGTGTTTTAATAAAAAAATGGTAGATGAATAATTGATTTAACAATCAAAGGGTAGAATAATACTTGATTACACATGAGGAGAGAGAGAGAGAGGGATGTGAACATTCCATGTCAAACTAAGTTGAAGAGTTACTTACCAAAAGTTTATGACTAATTCTCAAACTGTGTAGAATAATCCTAACAATAATATTTTAAACTCAAAAGATTATAAATTTCATTACATTACACATTTTTGCACCCATCTCAAACCTGAAAGCATGATGATTTATAAACTTTATTTTAAATTTTTTTAATGATGATTTATAACTTGAATGAGAAACTTCATGCCATGATAGCCTGCCATCACTGTCGTAATAATTACACACACTCCCCTCAATTGACAACACTGATGCATTGCTTTCTTGCTATAAAAATTCATGACATAAGTCGTAGTCTCATTATGCTCATTTCTTAAATTCAACAACAGCTTCCTACCATATCTTTAATGGGGACTACTAAGATTATGTATAGTAGTGGGGTCATGGAAGATTTTTTTTTCTTTTTCTAAGGGTCGAGGGTTTTTAGGTTGGTTAACGTGTAGTGACGGACCCACATCAGGGGGCAGTGGGAACAGCTGCTCCCACTGGAATTTTAAAAAATTTTGGGGATTAAGTATAATTTTAAAAAATTTAAAATTTATTAGAAATTTGGCTTCACTAAATTTTTTTTAAAAGATTTAAAGGTAGTTATACAATTTTGACAAATATATGAGTCTCACTTATAAATATCAATGAAAGATGATATCAAAAATTTGGACATTTAAAAGATTAACTAATATGTTAAGAAATAGATTAGCCATCTCATTTGTTTTATAGTTATGCATTGAACTAAATTTAGGGTTTCTAGTCATTTTATTTGTTTTATGTTTATATGTTATAATTAAAAATTAGGGTTTTGTAGTCCTATTTTGTGGTTTATTTTTTAATGTTGAATTGAAATTAGCGTCTATGACTCTATGTTATATTTTATTTGTTACATGTTGAATTGAAAATATAAAACTAGAGTTTGTAATCATTTCTTATGTTTTATTTTTTTATGTATTGAATTGAAACTAGAATTTGTAGTCTTGTATTTATTTTTCTGTGTTAAAATAAAATTGGGGCTTGTAGTTCTTCTCTATGATTTATTTTTTTATATATTTAATTGATATTTGGTTTTATAGTTCTCTCTAGTATTTTTATTTTTATATGTTAAATTGGAATTAAGACTTGTAGTCATCTCATTTGTTTTATTTTTATTTGTAAAATTTGAATTGGGACTTGTAGTCCTCCATTATAATTAGATTAAATTATTATGATTTGGTAGTTTGAATAGTTTTATTGTGATAAGTTAAATATTTCATATACCTAGGTTTAAATTACTAGAATAATTATAATTTAAGTTAATCTCGATTGTTGGTTAAAATTTAATGATGAATATTAAGTTTGTGATTGAATAAATTAATTTTTGAATTAATTATAAATTTTTTTCTTAAAATTTAATATATGATTGAGCCCAATTTTGTGGTTCAAATTTTTTTTGTTAAGTCTTATAGATAAATCTATAATGAA